CGCCGTAGAAAACTTTCCACGGAGAAACCAGTTATGGTAAGTTCAAACAAAACAAAGTTCGAAGTCTCACGAGGACGATTTTCTTACCTCTCGATGACTCGTTTTGAGACATGGTCTCCACTATATCTAGGGTTCACAACGTGCTAGGGTCCATTCTGAAAAAAAAACAAAGTTCGAAGTCTTCGGAGGACGACTTCCCTACCTCTCGATCACTCTTTTTGAGACATGGTCTCCACTATAAATAGGGGTGCACCAGGGGCTAGGCTACACTCTGGAAAAAAAACAAAGTTTGAAGTCCTCGGACGACGATTTTCCTACCTCTCGAGGACTATGTTCGAGACATCGTCTCCACCATAAATAAAGGGTACACCAGGGACTAGGGTTCACTCTGAAAAAAAACAAAGTTCGAAGTCCTCGAAGGACGATTTTCCTACCTCTCGAGGACTCTGTTTCAAACATGATCTCCAGTATAAATAAGGGTGCACTAGGTGTTAGGGTTCACTCTGAAAAAAAAAACAAAGCTCGAAGTCCTCGGAGGACGATTTTCCTACCTCTCGAGGACTTTGTTTCAGACATCGTTTCCACTATAAATAGGGCTGCACCAGGGGCTAGGGTTCACTCTGAAAAAAACAAAGTTCGAAGTCCTAGGAGGACGATTTTCCTACCTCTCGAGGACTCTGTTGGAGACATCGTTCCCACTATAAATAAGCGTGCACCGGGTGTTAGAGTTCACTCTGAAAAAAAAGCAAAGTTCAAAGTCCTCGGAGGACGATTTTCCTACCTCTCGAGGACTCTCTTTCAGACATGGTCTCCACTACAAATAAGCGTGCACCATGTGTTAGGGTTCACTCTGAAAAAAAACAAAATTGGAAGTCCTCGAAGGACGATTTTCCTACCTCTCGAAGACTTTGTTTGAGACATCGTCCCCACTATAAATAAGCGTGCACCGGGTGTTAGAGTTCACTCTGAAAAAAAAGCAAAGTTCAAAGTCCTCGGAGGACGATTTTCCTACCTCTCGAGGACTCTGTTGGAGACATCGTTCCCACTATAAATAAGGGTGCACGAGGTGTTAGGGTTCACTCGGAAAAAAACAAAGTTCGAAGTCCTCGGAGGACGATTTTTCTACCTCTCGAAGACTTTGTTTGAGACATCGTCCCCACTATAAATACGGGTGCACCATGTGCTAGGGTTCATTCTGAAAAAAAAGAAAGTTCGATGTCCTCGGAGTACGGTTTTCCTTTGTCTGGATGACTCTTTTTGAGGCATGGTCTCCCTTACATGGTGGATACGGTATGTTTCTGGTGTATTCCGTGATGGATACGGTGTGTTCCGTGTTGGATACGTTGTGTTCCGTGATGGATACGGTATGGTTCCGGTGTATTCCGTGATGGATATGGTATGTTTCCGGTGTATTCCGTAATGGATATGGCGTGCCCGGTGTGTTCCGTGATGGATACGGTATGTCTCCGGTGTATCCCGTGATGGATACGGTGTATCCGGTGTGTTCCGTGGTGGATACGGTGTGTTTCGGGTGTATTCCATGATGGATACAATGTGTTTCCGGTGTGTTCCGTGATGGCTATGGTGTGTTTCCGGTGTGTTCCGTGATGGGTACGATGGATTATCCAACGTTTTCCGGTGAATGGAAAAGTTTTGTAATTGAGCGGTTCCTGGTACGATGACTTTCCGGCCGGAATACTGCCCCCCTTTCCAGTATTTTTCCGGTCGGATCCGGTAGGAATTGCACGGGAACCGGCGGGAATTAGCTGGAAAATGGGCCGGTTCCTGCAGGTTCCGGTGGGATCCGTTGACTGGAATCATCGACCTGGGTAATTCTTCCAAGATAATTATAATCAAAAGATATTTTTTCAAAAACTAGACAACATTTTTTTCAATTTATTTGTTTTAATGTTCTCCAAATAATTTCGTATGAAGTAAAAAATAATTCTTATTTAAATGTAAACATAATTATGTGTAAAGTTTCTGTTAATGGTTAAATAAAAATCTCTTTCCTCATATATTCTGATTATAATGATTTTTGCAATGAATTCAAGTTAAAAATGAAAACCGTCATTTTTCAATTTCTATTATTGATCAATCAAATATTCTATAGAACTATTAAATCAAAATCATATCGGTAGAAGTATGAACAGTGGTTCGAAAGAATGAATAAGTGCATTAGTGTACAAGGACAGTACTTTGAACAAATATAATAAAATCATTTTAAACTAAGCTACCAGTATTGCAAATCTAAAAACTGTTGGAGTGACCCACGTATCAGATCGTTAATTTTTAGCAGTAATTCATATAATAATATAGTCAAGATTTTTGATAAACTTCATCGATATAAGGAAATTTATATACGACAGCTACTCTAATAAAAATTTTAAAAAATAATCAAAATAAAATTATTTTTTTTTCCTTCTGTTCGATTTATATATTATGATAGTTCTAATATAAATAGAAAAATAATTAATGAATAAAAAAATTCATTTTTCTATTCTTTTTTCTATTTATACAAGATGATCCTAATTCGAATTAAATTTTTAATAAAAAGAAAATTAATCTATTCCTTTTTTTTTCTTTTTACTGCTATGAAATAACTCTTATTCAATTATAATTATGATCAGAATAAAAGTTATATGTTCTTTTTCTTTTTTTGTATTTTCTATTTATTAAAAACAGTTCTAATGTGAATTATGATTATGATTGAGATAAAAATTGATTATTGTTGTTACTTATTGAAGTCCTTGTTTGATTTAATAAATGAAATTTATTTTATAATTACAATGAGATAATTATCAAGATTATTACAAAGTAAATATTGTATGACAAAACGAATGATAGATTTAAAAAATGAAAAAGTTTAAAAATTTCATAAACATGAAATGGAATATAAATTGATTAATATGTTACAAAAAAAAGCATTCAAATTCAATTTCTGAAATCAATAATAGAAAAGAAAATATTCGAGACGACCAACTATGTAATCAATTTTGTTTTTCTTTCTATGTAATATTAGTCGACCATTAAGACATGTCTATCTAAACGAATGAAAAATATATATGTATTCTATTGTGTGAAATAGAAAACAAAATTCTGTTTATTTTATTATTTATATATAATATTGATTATTGTCATTTAGATAAATCTGTATATTATTTTGTTTTTAATTTTTTATATTAAAAGCTTCAATTATGCCAATTGCTTATGAAAAGATCAGCAAACGTGAACATGTTCCTCAAGGTGAAGACGGAATTAGCAAAAAACTAATTACTACTGATGACTGTGGACCATGTGTCTTCTTTTTGGTAGACTGTGTATTTCAAGGAAAAAAAATCTGCTATCTTAAACATTATGATTTTAAAGAAATTGATGATTCAAATATGTCACAATTAGAATGTTTCATGGCTTTTTTATCTATCATTTCTACTGATTTAAAACATCATATTGATATAAAATCAATAAGACCTCATGATTTAGTTGGAAAAACAGGTCTTCACGATTGCCGATTAACTATTGGAGGTGGTGATGCACACAACTCAATTTTAATAAAAAGTTCTTTTTCTCTTTTTTTAAATCCAACTACACATTATATGTTACCTAATGAACTATTTAATGATCCTGATATATTCTATCTTTATCAACAATTCATATACAAAACAATAATCTTTGAATCTGTCAGTAAAGTATTGCCTGATTATGAAGAAGATCAAAGTTGGTTTTTAGTAAATATTGATTTAAAATAAACATAAATGAAATTGAATTTTAGGTGTTCTTAAAAATGATGGACTTGATTATCCAAGTTTATCAATGAAATATAGCTGTACAACAAATCGGTTAACTATGAAAATTGATTGGGTATCAACATCAGACAGTTTTTCATTGGCAACAATGAAAGTGAAATTACACTCACAACCACCACCACCATCAACATACTATTATTGGAAAAAAAATGTACAAGAAATTCATAAATTTCAACAGAAAGCAAAACCTGATGAAAATGAACGATTAAGTGATGCCTTATCATTAATTCCAAACCAGAGATGGACGAGCCGCGATTTCACACCATCCCGCCCCGCCCCGCCCCGCCGGTGGAGCGATGCAGAAACTTGACGGGGCGGGGCGGTGACGGTGCGTCGCAAGATCTTACGGTTTCCCCGCCCCTTGACAATATTGAGTTTTTTTTAACATTTTTCTTAAATGTTTATTTTTTTTCTATTTCGAAATTTTATCTTTATATACAGGGTGGTCTATAAATAGGGATGCACCAGTCACATTCCTGACTGGTGAACTGGGGGTACCCAGTCGGACTGGATATCCAGTCCGACTGGTATCCAGTTAACTGGAGGTACCCAGTCCAACTGAGTAAAACTTCGAGTTCTAGCAAAAATACCTATAGATTCTTGTTCTATGTAAAGTAAGTATCATTCGATGTAAGGCCCAGTCGGAGGGTGTGGGTGTGGGGTGTGGGTGTGTGGGTGTGTGGGTGGGTGTGGGTGTGGGTGTGAAGATGTGTTTATCGTCTCCGAGCCCACACCTACACCCACACCCCACACCCACACCCACACCCACACCCACACCACACCCACACCACACCCACACCACACCCACACCACACCCACACCCATACCCACACCCATACCCACACCCATACCCACACCCACCCACACCCACACCCGACTTCTTTTTTCCATATCTGTGACATATTTGATAAGATTTTTTGCATCATCATCAAATAATTCAGTCCCATTGGCATTTAACATGCTTGAATCGCATTATGTTGATATACTTGTTCGGCATCTTCTGCAATAAAAGAAATAATAAGAATGATTAAATACAGTATTCATTGTATGGATTATAATAGAATTCAATAAAGACTTTATAGTGACGAAAAACGTATATATATATTTATCTTTGTTAGAAAATGCATCCAACACTAAAGAAGCGTCGAATAGTATTTTATGTCTCTTTTTTCTTTTTTTTTATGAAAAATAGAACTTTTTTAGACAGAATCATTCTATTTTCCAAGTTGGTATTGAACAAGGTTTTGATATGCTAAACCTTTGAACTCAAAAGGAAAAAACATCAAAATCTTCTCAAGGCATTTC